AAATATTATATTATATTATATATATGTGAATGTGTGTGTGTGTAGCTTATTGGAAGGTACGAAATTTGATCGCTGGTTTGTTGCTCAGTATTTGGACAGATTGTGAAAGTTTGTTCTGCACAGCTACTTACCAGTCACATCACATATCTCCAATACGATTTGCTCTCCATTTATATACCCAAGCCATCAGATTATCTCAAGATTCTTATCCCTTCGTCAATCTAACTACATATTTGCATTCCACAGGTGCTCATACCGGAGGTGATGGTATCGTGCACGCTACGAGGGGTGTCTGCTGCGCGGAGAGTGCCTTCGACAGCCCTGTTTCTGATAGTCGTTGCCATGTCTGATGTGATGTCGATCAACTTCTTCTTCCTGGTCAAGGACGAGGGCAGTTGGCTGGAAATAGGTAGAGTGTGTCGATGGCCCGTTGTGTCCTGTGCCTGTGTATTGTTGCACGGCGTGCGCAGCATACGCGCCGTGGGCCTTCGCGGTTAAATTTCAATTCATTGTTTTTAAGTTGTGTCGTTCCTACTAACTACTTAGTCGCTGTCGGTGGTAAACGGCACACTTGAGTTTCTCACATACAGAACAGGGAGAGCTCTCAATCAAGAAACACTACTGACTGTAGACTAATTTCAATGCTTTCTCTCCGCAGGCACCAGTATCAGTCACTTTGTAATCAACAGCGCAGTGATCATCTTCCTTCCGCTGTTCAATCTGATTGGATATATCTACACAAGCGATCCCAAGGAGTCCCATTGCTTACACAAAAAGACGGCGCTCGACTAATTGATTTCCACAACGGCGCTAGCGTATATATATATATATATATATACATATACATATATGTATGTATTTAAGTATGTATGTATGTATGTATGTATATATATGTATAATATATATATGTATACATACATATATATATATATATATATATAAGCCTTCATTTGATCCAATGTTATAGCAACGGACAGAGGTCTGACCCTCTACTCAACACTCTCCTCACAAAGCGTGCAGAGTACATCGCAACAGTTGGAATCGAATCTCAGATATAGCATTCCACTGTGCAGCGATTCACCACAGACCCAAGGGCAACTGCATACGACAGGTGCGCTGACATACGCGCAGATGCGCACGTGGGGCGTATGAAAGATACGGTTCACGAAACGGGGCGTATAACGTACCGAACACTGCCCACACAAAACTGCGATGTACACAGTTGTGCCGGGGGGGGGGGGGCAAGTACACACAACCTGACAACAGGAAAGGAGGCTGATCTCGGCGTAGAATTGAGTGGTCTCTGGTAGAACAGATGCGATCCACGATTACGGATTTATTCTGATTCGGTATAAAAGTATCTAATCTCAGCTCTGTTTGCAGCCGAGTTGATATCTATTACTAATTTTTGCCTGCACGCCTGGTGCGGGGCTAGTACGGTGAGGGAGTATATATATGTATAAATGAATCCCTCATATATTTATAGTCTATTACAGCTTAGACAGTGAGGCTAAAACGGCGCTCCGGAACCAGTCCTGGTACATCAGGAACGAGGACACGTGACCACCGTCCACAATGTGTATCTGAGACCCGTCAAAATGCGACTGTGAAGAAGAATTGCGAAACAAGGATATATGTTATTAGGCTTCGAGTTCACAAGTTAGAGTCAGCGATCTTGTGGAATTCATACGACAATGATCTTGTCGTTACGATAAGATCAGTACTATAACACAGTGCGTACAATGGCCATAGAGCGGCGCAGCCCCAGCCGATTCGCCAATGGTGTCGGCACATCTATCGAGTGCAACCATCCCATATTAACACCCGCGTGAAAGGTGTGAATGCTAGCAGTGTACTACCTAAACACACTGCGCCACAAAGCACTATGCCGGTGCGTATCTCCAGTGAATAAAGAAGTATCGCAGAATCAAATTCAACATACAACACACACGCAAACACACGCACACCCATCATCACATACAACAGTTAAGCTTACCTGTAATCGGCTCGCTGAATCGAGCGAAACATAGCGATCGTATCGTCCCACAACAAAGACGGCCGCGTCGGGCCTCAGCGGTTTTGGAAACTTGGTGACGTCGGTTATGCTGAAGGCTCGCTCCAGGCGCAACCTGGTGGCCTCAAGTTCATTCTCGTAGGGCACTGTGGTCAAAAGCACAATAATGAATCCATATAAGCAAGCGGTGTCTTGAATGTGTACCCGAATGAAGAATTGGGACTTGTTTGTACAAGTGTTAATGTGGTCAAAAGCACAAATAATGAGTCCATATAAGCAGTGTCTTGGATGTGTACCCGGTTGAAGAACCTCGTTTATCAAATGGGGCCAAATTGTGTTGCGGCAATTGATGCTCATTCCGGCTTATGAGATACAGCACAAATCTAGATATAGAATCCAATAGTACACCTGTACGTGAAAGTGCATGATTCATAGAGCTTGGCCCACGCAACTATGTAACCTCCCGGCTATCAGATAAAGTTTATGTACCCACTGAACGCACACAACGCACACGGGTGTTATGAGCCCTTTCGGTCTGCAATAGGGCTGTCCAGTCGCTAAACATTTGGACAGTTTAATAACCCATCGCATACCAGGTCATGGCCCGTGTGATACCCACCACTAACGTCGGATAAACGCCTGTGGTTGAGCGCAAAACCTCACGGGTCTCACGGATTGTTGTCGTTTTGCACGACAGGTGAGTGTCTTGGTCATGCCAAACACAGTCCACTGACAGCGTGATTCGTTCGTGATGCCCCATGCGGCACATAACCCAACGGTGCCATCGACCACGCCAACTCGATCAATTGGGGAGCTCAAGGGCGTGATGCATATCTCATGCGCGCGCCTTGCCACGTACGAAATAAATACACTCTGGCGCACTCCCCAGTCCATCCAACACATGAACAGTAGTCTTGTGTCTTACCACGTACTCTATATTAGCGCATAAGACAGACAACTCTCGCACTGTCATCCACCAAACACATCACATCACACTTTCATCCAACAAACACATGGCGTACCATTCACATCGTCTAAACGGCCATGCTCGGATTGGAAGCTCACGGGTCTGATGAAGTCCCTCGGTGTGCGGTACAGTCGCGTGCCCTGCCACAGCGGTCCGTTGCAGAAGGGCTCTGACGCACTGTGTGGTGCCAGATGAGGCGAGCACGCCACCGGCTCAGGTGATAAGCAGGCTACCTGTGCGTGCAAGCCATTGGAGGGGGGGGTTGTATGGAAGGTGTGGGTGTGTGTGGGGTGAGATGGTATGTCACATGACGGGCCCTCGTTGCGACCTCCTTCCACAGATTGATTCTGGATAATATATATCGGTCATGGCTTAGCAAAGGACGTGACGTGTAATTGATTGTACGTACGGGCGTCTCACTATGCACACTAGGTGAACGGTTGGTACTGCCCACACCCAACGGCGATACGAGCATGAGGCGGCGTGATACCGCATTCACCTCTCACGACTGCAGCACGACGCAAGCGCACCATTGTTACACTTACACAAGAAAGGCGTGACATTTAAAACGGCAGTGAGGTGGTTCTCTTGCACGCTATGGAGTATGCATGCATGCATCGAATGGTGACACTAGCACGGATACCTACCATTGCAGCATGCACTCCTCCCATGGAGAAGCCACTGACACACGACCGGTGGTAGCCGTTGTGCTTCGCCCACCTCAAGAGATGGAGACTCTCGGCAATGGTGGTGAACCCCAGCACAAGCAGATCACACACGTGCAGCAGCTTGGAGCGTACCTGGGGAGTGGGTGATACGAGGTTATAGAAGTTATACAGCAAGTAGCTTGGAGCGTACCTGTGGAGTGAGAGATACGAGAATATAGTACATGTACAGTAAGTCCGGTAAGCTGTTGGCGGGCCTCGCGACTGGATGGCTACCACCGCTCTATAACTAGATGGAGTGTGATGGATAGTGTGTAGAGAAATATGAGTGCGAGTCGACTCTACGCAGGTAGTGGATGGGTACGGATGTGCTATCTAGCCATACAGCATTTGAGACCGACCACAAATACACATGGATAAGCACATGAAATGAATCATGAATATAAATTATCATTCACAGAAAACCCCCAACAAAAGAAATTGTACTGACATTGACCTGCGGGAAAGGTACATGCACAGACGCACAACGACAAACAATTATTGTAGAAAAGGCAAGGAAGCTTGAATACAGACAAACAAACAACCACGGTTCAAGCACGCAGACGCAGTAGATCGGGTACCATACCTGTCGTATCGGCTTGCGCCTGCCGTAGTAAGGGGATTCGAGTATCACAGACGCGACCCCGTCGGCAACCAGCGGCAAGGCAATGAGATGGCGCCTCATAAAGCCGTGGTCACCCGTGCCAGCCAAGTGTATGGTTAGATCTACCGCATAACGCGTGGCAACGATTATGTGAGAGGATGAGTTCAGTGACGTGCTTTCATTGAATATACAATAGTACATCAATATGAGAGGATGAGTTCAGTGACGTGCTTTCATTGAAAATACAATAATATATCAATATGCGAGGATGAGTTCAGTGACGTGCTTTCATTGAATATACATTAGTACATCAATATGCGAGGATGAGTTCAGTGACGTGCTTTCATTGAATATACAATAGTACATCAATATGCGAGGAAGAGTTCAGTGACGTGCTTTCATTAAATATACAATAGTACACCAATAGGCCGTCCCACTACTAGTCAGTGTGGTGGTGCACATCAGTGAGGGCAGAGTGTCAGTGTATGTCTCGATCTCGTCTCAAAGTCTCCGCATGCCAGAGCTCAACATACGGACGACTCGTTATAGTAGGGTGAGATGTAGGGTAGTACTGTGCTGGAGCAGGTTCGAATAGCATCCTTGACATCTGTCCTATATTTATAAATGGTCTCGCTATGACACATGCTTCCCCTTCAAGGGGCAGAATGGTTGCAACCATTCACTCGCATCAAAGGAATACAAAGGTGCGAGGGGTAGGTCGCAATATCTCTACAGAAAACTTATAGATCACACTCTTTCACTGCCAGGAACCTAAACACAAACCTATCGGATGCTATACCATAACCAACTCAGGAGGTAAACGTTAACTAGACGTACTTACACACCTGGATTCGCGCAATGCCGTGGACGAATGAGACGCACATGTGCTGTCCGTGATTCGATGGGCAGCCACTCGCGCACTCTACCAAACACCGGTGTATCAAAAACGCCATGGAATACATCATACACAGTGTCTTGGTAGGATCCAGAGAACTCGAGCTTCCAATCGATCTAACAAGGTGGAGTATAGGCGATTGAATGGATGAGTGTCTGTCGATTGTCGTAACATAACAATTCCATAGATACAGAATATATCATAAGCACAACTGTGAACGATGCCAGAGTGAAGTATGCATTGTACAACATAACGAACAATAACTGAAACCCATACTCGACTACGATCAGGCGGTATTATATATATATATATATATATGTGTGTGTGTGTGTGTGTGTGTGTGTATATATATATATATATATATATTATTGTGTGTGTGTATATATATAATAATATATAGTGTACTATATATATAT